AGCTGTCTCTCGTGTCTTTCTATGAGCTTAATTCAAAGTCATGATGCGTATAACTTTTGAGATAAATCTTCATGTCAAACATTTTCCCTCATTTTATTTTAACCTATTTCCCATTATTGTAGGTGTGTTCCCGCTCAAATTCTCAATGTTTACTGGCTCATACATTATTTTAATGTAAAGAGTGTCATATTTGCTTTGAATGTTTTCCTAGTGATGCCTACTGCTAGTGTCATGGAGCTATGGCTCCTAAGTCCCATACTCCCAGTCTCCCATATGAGTATAGGACTCGCACATCCATTTGTTATGGGTCTATATTTTCCTGATTTAACTTATACTTAATTGAATGTACTTTACTTCAATGAATAATGATGATGGCACATCAATGTACATTGTTGGTGAGGTCTAAAAGCCAAAATTAAAATATTTATTTAGCATGGACGAAGTTTGAACAAGTAAAATTTCAGGTGTACCTAACTACACTTTTTGTGTGCACCTCTTTATTTTGCTTGTGTATCTACACCAAATATTACCTTTCAAATAATCTTATGCTATCTAGTACTAACCATTACAGACTTCATTCCTTAACTATCTTGATAACTTGGACTTTGACTTTTAGGAGTTTTAGGAAGTAGCTTTGCTAACAAGTAACAACATATGTCTGGTATGTTCCGGCTTAATTAAAGTTAATATTAAAAAATGGTGCAGGTTTTGGATAATAGTTAAATAAGGTACTTTAAGTATATTTTTAGAAGTACTTTAAGTGGATATATAATAAATGGAAAATGGTCAAATAAAGCCTTTTACTATTATGAATTCGCCATATAAGACCATATATTGAATAAGTGTCATGTATATGCGGCTACTTGTAAAAAGCAATCGTCAATCGGGTGAGTCTCAATGACTTACTGCTTATGTGTCTTTTTTTGCCAAACTTTGTTATTTTTCCACATTAGCCTCCAAGTTCTAGTCACCGTCACTCTTGAATTGTACCAAATCTAGGCATGCCATTGAAAGGTTTCTGTCCTTACAATTCGCCTAGGGTTTCAATGAAAGATGATTGCAGCATGGGGGGTGAAAATTCAGGGTGATTTATTCATTTCATTGCCTGGCTTGCGATTTTTTGATTTGATATGCTAGTACTAATATCATAGAGCAAGGTACTGTACTATCTTGAATTTGAAATCGAGCATTGTAATTTGGGTGAAAGAAAGATCATTGTTATAGTCTTTATCATGTTCGAAGTTTGGAAATTACATTTGATAAGTTAGGGCAAGTTGAACACCTTTAAATTCCAGAGTTTTTTTTTTTAAAAAAATATTTAAATTCTTTGTGCTACTGAATATATAACACGAGATTGGGACATCAAATTGGTGCTACATTTCTTGATAAAAAGTAACTACATATATTCCATTGTTTTGTTTTTCAGAATGTTTCTCAAAGCCGAACCGAAAAATTTGATGCCCATAGCAAAGGCTGGTTTGGAGCTTTATGACACTCATCACTAGTGCAAGGCTTACTTCAAAACCAAAGTGAAATGTGATATCGGGGACAACGACCTCTTAGAGGCATTTAACAAAAACCTTGCAATTTTTGACAAAGGTGAGGATCCTGAGCATTATGTGTATTCTTGTTATTCAAAGGAGGTGTATGAGAGAATATTCACATCATCTTCACCGAATGGATGGGAGATGTTGTGGAGTAGGACACATAACAATGAATCAATGATATTGCGCCTCCAATCCCAAATAAAATGTCTGGAAGACCCAAGAAAAAGGAGAATATGTCAAGCTAATGAAGGGCCAACATCTAAAAAGGGAAGGACAACACTCTCAAGAAAAAGGCAGACTCATGACGTATTATGTATGTAAGGTTGTAGACTTGTAGTACATAATAAGTCAAAGTGCCTGAAAAAAGCCCTAGCTACAGAAATGGTGTCCGCAGAACCATCAGCCACTGATTCAAAGAGAAGACCAAGAGGCAAAACCAATAAAGAAAACAAGAAGCCAACTTGAAGCACCAACAAGTCAACATGATGCAGCAGAAAGTGGACCATGACATGTTTTAGGCTTAGTGTATTGTGCAGTTAAAGCTTTATGCTTATGTTTTAGACCGTCTGTTTTTTGCCGTTTAAGCCTTATGTTTATGTTTAAACATAGTCTGCTTTGCGGTTGAAGCTTACGCTTATGTTTGCCATCAGAAACCGTCCCTACATGTCTACAACTTTATGTTTAAACTAAGTGTATTTTGAGGTCTAAGCTTTAAGTATCTAGTTCTACTAAATGAATTTTCTGGATGTAAAAGTTGTACTTGCTAAATCTGAATATGGATATTTTCTTCTAATGTTTATGTGTGTTTATTATTGTCATATGTGTTTGATGAGAATGGCATTTAACACTGCAATTATTCTGGGAGTTGTATACCATAGCTTTTCTTACAGCTACTTAGTAAAGGGTTAAAAGAAACCAAGTTCATTATTGCCACCCCCAGGATTTTTCGTAGCAGCAGGAAATTGAGGGTTGCAGCACCTGAGATTGAACAGAAGGGATGGTTGCATGCTTGCAGCAGAGCAGGCAATTGAGGCTTATAGTTGCGCTTAGGGCGGGGATGCACTACAACCGAGCCAGGATATAATTTCTCAGTCATTCTCATCTCTTTTAGTTTGTTCAGCATCTATGTAAATAAGGAGGAGGCTGCAGAAGTATGATGTATCAAATGGAGCTGAGATAAAAGTTTTGTACATTGTGTACAGTTAGCTGAACAGAAAGACCCAAAAGAGATGGGAGTTCCTGTCAATTGTTTCAATTGTATCTTCTTCATTTATAATGAGCTGTACCTTGTTTCTGGAAACCATGAGAATGACTGAGAAATTAGATGCATCACCTTCTTTTCATTTTCCAAAAACTATTACCTTTCATGATCTAAGCTTCAAGCTTATACAAATACGACTTCCAGGACACATAAATAAAATTTCACAAATAAAACTACAAATGTATATAAACGAGGCTTTGAACACCATCAAATTCACGCATTCAAATTTAAGATGATAACATAATAGACATATTGTCTTACACATTGCTGCAAATTCTAGACGACCAACTACAATTAACATTCCATTTCCTCACAAACTATACCTACCATGGCTATCATTTACTTCCATCTAGCACAAATTTCATGATAGTTGTTGCTACCACAACTATCATGACTGCAATGGTAGCTAGTGTGTTATACTTTCTCTTTTCTGCACTTTCAGCTATTTCGCGACCAAGGGATCTTATTTCTTCTCTCAACTGAAGAAGCAATTCTTTGACTTCTTGGAAGTCTGATTCAGAATCCTCATTATTTTCACCTACTTTGTTCCAAGTAAAAAAACCACATCCTCCTTCCTACATCAGTTTATAAAAATAAAACATCAAAACATAATCAGTAAATTGTCCTCAAATCGATTAGTTTCAGAAAAATAACTACTTCCGCTAGTAATATCTGAAATTCGGACAATATAATTGCCCCCAACGAATAAAAAACCTATAATCGGTTGAGATTTACTTACTTTCCAACGCTGGCATCCGTAGAAGTGCCCGCCTTTCTCACTTGATTTATATAACGGAGATTTTAACCCACATTTACAGTAAACAGCAGGTTCATAATTCAGGCCTGGAACCATCTCTGAATCAGAGCTGAACGCCGTTGAAGACATGCCGGGGATGACGAATTGAGGTGAAGCAGATCGAGATAAACCCTAAGTTAAGGTCGTATTTTACGGCTTTTCGGATATCATCAAGAGCTAGAGTGCGAACAGGCGTAAACGGGTCGGGCCTGTTTTTAACATTGACAGGTTTGGGTTTAACCAATTACCTGTTTTTTTAAAGTCGGTTTGGGTCTAAATCTATTACCTGGTTTTTTTTAAGTTGCCTAATACCGGTTAAAGGTCTATTTTTAATATATGATGATTAATAATCATTTAGGAATGTTAATTTTCTTTCAAAATAAAAATGAAAATTTTTAAATGGAACGTCTCAAGGTAGGCATGAATAAAGTTCTGGTTAATTTTTGGGATCGGACCGGGACATGAAAACATAGTTCCAGTTCATGATCGAAGGCAGTTAACAAGTAACGTTCGTCTAGACGTGATATAGGTTATGTTTGACAAAATGAACTACTACAGGTATAGCTTAGACCATTGTCTCAATTAATGGTTGTGTCTAAACCTGAGAGGTGGAAAAACCATGTTTAAACTTTTCACCAGGGGGGTTGAATTGACACCCCATCTCAAATTCCAAATCAAATGTGAAAGTTCGGAAAAGAAAGAAAACGGATGTGGCGAGGGGAAATAGAGTTGGCACATGGATCTAAGAAAAAAATCTATTTTCTTTGAAGTGTTGTAAATTTTTTATTTGTACTCCATTTTCTACAAAATATATATATATATATATATATATATATATATATATATATATATATATATATCAAAATTTATTAGTTTTTATGATCTTTCATATACCAGTATTGCATATATAAAGTTTTAATAAAAAACATCCTTTGGAGGTATATAAGATCAAATGCTAAAATTAAGATCTCATTGCTAAAATACTTTTTCTATCTTTTAATTGTTTTTTTCAAAACTAGGTTTGAAGTAACCTTAAAAAAAATAAACTCTAAATTTATTTATTTGTGAATTGGATTATTTGACTTTTTAAATCATAATTATTCACAAAAAATTAATGATTAATAATAAAAATAAAATTTTAATGAAGATATGTTGACGGAGTGATTGCAGTTATCCTAAGTCCTAAGTGCATATATTCTCATGGACCAATTCTTACTTTTGTAGACTCTACTCGGCCACACCCAAGAAGATGCGACTAAATTTTAACTTCAAAATACTACTCCTAATTAAACTGCGGGACATCTTATGGATGGGGAAGTTTATCCAAATGGTGAAACAACTTTAACAAAAGTTATTGGGAAAAAATATACGCACTTGTACCAAAAAGAACACTAAACTTGCACAAACAAAACCTGGAATCCTTCAAACCAGGCTTTGGCCTAATTTAAAAAGGTGCATAATACATTGAGCTAATTTGAACACTATTATCTACATCAAAGTAACACTCACATAGCTTGCTAGCCCCAGGACAAGCTTAAAACAATTGGTCAAAGTTTAATTATACTCCAACAGTGCCAATCAAACATCAAGAAATGATTAGAATAATAGGTTTTGATTAGATACACAACTGGTCCCATATAAAATTTGGGCATGTGTGCCGTAACATAGCGATATATATCGACTCTTTACACCGGAGAAGGCCATGATAGTTGATGGCTCTCAACACCGCCACCATATTCATCACCACTTGTAACTTCTTGCTCCTCACTTTTTTCATGTCTCACACTTCTAATGGTCAAATCGTTAAAACTTGTTTCGGTTCTCCAGGGTGGAGGAGTCACACAATCAGAATTCTTCCTTGATCCTCCTCTCTGGGAAAGATCCTTGCTAGGTGTGGCAAGGGACGATGAAGGACCAACCCTTAACGTTTGAAGTGTGGCAAATGACTCCCTCATTGCAGACATGGCTTCAAAGAACCTGGTGCATGAAGCCAGGGCGACGGGGATAGGGCGAAGCATTTCCTACATTTATTTGAATAAAAACAAATAACAATAATAAATATCCACTGATGAATCATGCAACTGTACAATCACAACATAAACGGTTTGGACCCTTAAAGGTGTCCCCAGATATCAGATATGACAAGTTCAACCCCCCCCCCCCCCCCAGACCACCGACCCCCACAACCTAAACCCAAGTAAAAACAAAAAAAAGCACATTGAAAAGCAAAAAATAGACACAGAGTACCACACTGAGAAAGTAGAATCGTCAGTCTTTTTTATGTGAGGGGATAGTGTAATAATCCATACATAAATACTGACATTTTTATGAAGCCCCATAAGACTCCACTATAGAGACATATGGACTTATGCTCAGGCCACATAAACCCATATTGATGTGTCTCCATCTTAGAGTCATACATGGCTCCATAAAATTCTGATATAACACTCCAGCTACTATAGTTGTGGAAGCAAAATCATAATAATAATTTCACATACTGCCCATATTGTTGGTGGGTCTCTAAAATTTTGGCTCCAATGAAAGTCGGCCGCAGATGCTGTTAATGCACTATAGTCGCTAGCAGCCCTCATCAGTAACTCAGAAAATTGTTTCTGCACAGATTCTCACACGTGTCAAAACAGCATCATGAAACAATGTATTTCCTTGGAGTTTTTAAACTATGTTTTATGAAACAGGTGTCACGTATTAAAACAGCATCATGGAACAATGTAATTCATTGGTGTTTTTATACTCTATTTATGTGTGTTTGTATGTTCATTTTTATGTTGGGAGAATAGGAGAGTAACTGATTAAGAAGTATTGGGGTAGGTGTTCCTGATTGTGGGGGCCCAAGGCCCAAGTAATGGTTAGTGTAAACTGTAAACCATATGAATATTAATATAAATTGAAATACTAAAACCCTGATTTCCCATACCAGACAAAAAAAATATAAACAAAATTTATCAGTCCTTCCACACAAAGAAATTTGGTTGGATTAAGGTCATCTCCAACCGTTAACACCATTTTTTACACTAAAATGGTGTAAACATCACATCAAACAGTGTTTTATCTCCAACAGTTTACACCATTTTCATCACAAAAAAGGAATATTCTTTTTTTATTCTTTTTACTAACTTTTTACCATTCTTCAATTTAAGTATATAACTATCATATATTTATACATTAGCCTCTCATTTAATATTTTGATATTTCACACATTATTTCACACATACAAACTAAAATACATCATTTTAATATGTATTTTCACGCATTTCACTAATTAAAATACATAATTTTAATATGTATTTTCACCCATTTCACAAATGTTATTATATTTTTGTTATTTTGTATCAAATTAATAATTTTAATTTGTTGTTCTATACAGATGTTTTTATTTGGACTGTAATTTGTCTCAGATCAGATCAAACCGGATTAGACTAGACTTAGATAGTGGGTTTTTTACGAGAATATTACTAAAATAAAACTTATTTACATAAATATGACTATTCATTACTACAACGTAGTGCTGTGATAACTAAAGTTTAAAACTTGAACATGAATTACTATGATTTCATTACTACTCTAGTAATGAATCATATTTTTGTAAACCATCTTTATTTTGGTCATATTTATGTAATTATTTCTTAGATAGTTATAAAAATACAAAGAAATCAGACCAGACCACATCAGTTCAGACCAGACCAGACCAACAAATTTCAGTCCAAGTAAAAACATCCTAATTTGTTGTTTTAAAAATGGGTCAAAACTATAATAATCAAAACTTTGGGTCACATTTGAAATAAATAAAAAATAGAAAAAGAAGATGGTGTTGGATTTGGTGTACACCATATATGGCGTAAAGCCAAAGGCTCTCCACCAAAATGGTGAAATGGTGCTAAAGATGGTGTTGTTATTGGAGCATTTTTTTGGCAAATACACCATTTTGGTGTAGAAATTGGTGCTTGTTGGAGTTGCCCTAAAAACAAGAGATTCATGATACAGATACAGAACAGGATGAGCAAAAGATACATGTCAAAAGTTACAGTTGTTATTATTACTGTTGTTGTTGTTGTTGTTATTTCCAGTACTATTACTACTAGTATTAATAAAGGATGATTCTTATAAGAAGTATGGAGTATAAGTTATGGAGTTACTTTACTAAAGAGTGATATTTTTTCCAGATTCTTTGTGTGAGTACTATTGAAGTGAAAATGTGAAATATCAATGCAAGATCGAGAGATAATAAGCTTATAACTCAATTTACCAAAAACGTACCTGATATTCTGTTTCCACGGGAATGCAATCTAATGAATATGGTTGTTGAAGCCGAGCAATAATGCGGTCCTACTCCATAAAATATTATTTGAGCAGAGGATATAGCACCCCATGAAAAAAAATCAATACACTTGCAGAATCAGGCGGTGGATGAAAAAAAGATCAACACACTTGCAGAATCAGATATGACTTCACACTTTGACTATAATCCTTCATATAAAGAATTCACTCTCAAAGGTCATCAACAGAGTAGAACAAAACCACTCTAACATTGGCAAAATCTGGCTAATCCAATATGGGCTTACAAATCTAGGACGCACTGTTCAGTACTTCAGTAAGTTTAATTGAAAAATAAATTAAACACTTTATCTTTAGCCGTGGAAATGCTGGAGAAACTTTTGAGGAAGTTTGATTGCCATTTAGTGTTCCCTGTGCATGCTAGTTAAACTGGAGCAATATCCTACCAAATCCCCCCAAAACCACTCTAACAGCGGCAAAATTTGGCTAATCCAATATGGGCTTACAAATCTAGGACCCACTGTTCAGTAAGTTTAATTGAAAAATAAACTAAACACTCTATCTTTAGCCGTGGAAATGCTGGAGAAACTTTTAAGGAAGCTTGATTGCCATTTAGTGTTTTCCTAGCATGCTAGTTAAACTTCATACTAATATATCGATCATAGCTTCTTAAAATGATATAAGAAGTAATAATTTAATACAGGATATTTAGCAGGATATTAATAGAACAAATAAGACAAATAAAACAAAATATATGTTAGCAGGATATTTATTTTCACAACCTTTTGCAATACACGAATTTTGACTCATTAAAAAAGATTGTCAATTACAATTCAAATCATTAATAGTCTTCCATCTTATCACGAGTGAAATACTCGTGCATAACAGTAACAGCCATAAAACTCAAACATCAAATGCTTGAAAATGGAGTAGCAATGGCCAGAGTAGTAATTGAGAACTTTACCTTGTTCTGAATAACATCTTTCAATATAGTGGTGATTCTGGCCAAAGTTTCAATCTTTTTTTCCATTTCACTAACATGTGTCAGATGGGCAACGTTTTTGTCCTCCTAAGACCATTTGGAGGGGTGCAAGAGTCTAAATGTAAAAATGGACTCCATCGATATGAAAACAATGTTTTGACTCCTATTTCTCTGCATTCCAGCACCGTCAATAAAATACACTCTGCACATTTTTTTACATATCAATTTAGTAAAACATTAATTAAATTATTATAAATAATATTTTCCTTTTTATTTTTTCTCTGAATAATTATAAAATAAAAAAGACACATTTCGATGTAAAAAAAATAAATTTCATTAATATTTTGTTTTTACGTTTTTCGATGAAGTGAGTTCAAACATATTAGAACATTAGATTCTCTTTTCAACTTGTGTGTCTATCCATAACATATTGGATTCCCTTCTCAACTTGATGTGTCTTCTTCATTATGTGTGTAAAAATGCACATTTCGATGTTAAAAAAAATCTTTAATTTCTTTGATACTTTTTTCTACTATTAAAATATAAATTGGGTTTAAAATTGGGTTCAACTACTGTTTAGCTATTTGTGGAGGCATCATGGATTAAAAATTTATGTTTCGTGTATTTTTTCAGCCTAAAAAACTTTAGCAGTTTGAACATCATTTTATTATTTAAATTTTATATATGTGATATTGGTGTAATATGAAAGATCATAAAAAATTAAAAAAATTGATACATGATTTGTAAAAATTGAAGCACAAATATATAAACTATAAGACTTTTAAAAAAGAAAATATTATTTTATGTGGTCCCATTATCCTTCGGTATGCTCCTTTTCCTTAGCCCACCTTTGCCTCCGTCCGTGAACCCTTTTCTTACATAAGCTTTTCCCTTTTTTCCATTCTATTTGGCTGTCAACTAACCTTTCATATTTGAGACCCTCTATCCAATTTTCCGTTTTTAGACTCTCAACTTGGCTCCAATGTAAGTATTTAGGAGTCTAAAATTTCCATTTTTGACATTTTAGACTCCTAATATCTTACCACTACAAATAGTCTAAAAGTGGGGGATCATTTTTCTAACATCAGTGACAGATACCAATGCATGAGATTGTTTTCATTGAATTTGACAAATTTTGTTTGATCAAGTCACTGGCTCACAGCAACCTTTCAATGAGTATATAATATAATCAAGAAGAATATGATAAACAACATTATAACTTATAAGATCAAATTTCAAGATTTCGAACAATCAACTAACTACTCATGGAATTGAAAATTAAGCAACTGATTCAAATATTGGAGGGGAGATTGTCTGACTATGTAAGAACCCTAACTTTTTTTTAACGATCTACATGGGTGTAGTGACTAGCTGGCATGGAAATATAGTTGAACACTGAATCTAAAGTTGAAGAACCTTTGCAATAGAATCAGAAAGCATTAATGAAGAAAATAGTGGAGTTTCTTAACAAAAAAGACTACATCAGAAAATAAAGTATATATCATGTGGCAAGGGACCAAATGCTAGTCTATAAAATATTGAGTAAACAAATTAAAACCCTCAACGTTCATGCAAATGTGATATGTTACTTATATAAATTTAGTAGCCAGTTAAAACTAGATAAAACATAAAAGAGACGTTCTTAACCAAAACCCATCATTTATGGTAAAGAAATCTCACAAATTTATTATATGAGACCTTCCATAATTAGTGAGAATGCAACAAATAAAATTGTCATTGCATGAAAGTAAACTCAAAATTAGAACTAAAGGCGCACTCCATAGGGATGTAAACACTATAGTAGCAACACACATTATTACATTTAATGATGAAGCCAAGGGGGGACGGGGTCAATGGGTATAAGTCAAAATGTCATGTATGTGCACGATTCAAATCGCAAAAAGGTTATTTTGTAAATGGAACCGTATGTAATCATGCTCTTTAAGCAACTATTAAAACTGAAGGCACTTATGCAATTCCTCTGTATTTTGATGTTTTGCTCCTATCAAAGTATAGATTGTGGGTAGGAGTAAATTCATCTCTTGGTACCTTGGGAAAAATGGAAAAGTGACACCTCTAATTTTAGGGGCCATTTGGTAATACCGAAATTGGCTGAATTTGCTGAAATTTGTTAAATTTTGGCTGAAGTGGCTGAATTGATTGAATCTGTTGAACTATGAAAAAAGTATATTTAAAATATATTTTGCTAATAAAATTAAGAAAAAATTACAGGAAATATAGCTAAAATGGTGCTCTACAAAAACTTCAGTCAATTTAGCCACAAAAGTAATTCCTACCTTACTTATTTTGGTTATTACACAATTCAATGTACGAAGTCAAAAACTACATGTTTGGTAAAAAAAAAAAAGTTGGTTGATAAAGCTAATAAGCTGAAAATATGGGTTGCCAAAGGTGCTCTTAGTTAGAGTTTGATTGCTTTCATTTGTATTCTTTTTTTACTCTAAACAGTGATTTATTTTACCTCAAAATGCCCTCAAATATACAAAGCTTATTCACTATTCATATCAGGTTGGGTAGGCACATTATCTGGCTCGGTGAGTAAGGGAGTGTTTGAGGTTGATTAAAAAAGCGCTTTTTAGCTTTTAACTTAAAAAAAGTTAAAAAGAGTGTTTTCAAATGACAGCTTCTGCTTAAATTAATCACTTAAAAGCTAAAAGTTGGAAGCAGGTGGAAGGGTGCTTTAAACTGCTTTTCACTTTTTCCATTACACAAAAAGTACTTATTTTACCAAACACTACCAACTTTTACTTTTTCAGAATCACTTTTTTCTCAAACACTACCAACTTTTACTATTAATCACTTTTCCCCAAATCACTTTAAAAAATCACTTTTTTAAAGTTGAAGCAATTGCAAACGCTCCCTAACTGAGTACATAACTAGATATTTCAATTCTACATTCTCACGAAACTCAAGTCATGCAGCATATTCAGCCTTTATGGAAAGGGTGAGGGTCTCCAGCTTTTTAGACTAAAATGTACTTATAATTATGTCAAATTCAGAAACTAGAGGTGAAACACAAGGGAATTGCTAAAAGTGTTATATTAAATATATTTATAGGCTTTTGTTCTTGAATTGCAAATATAATCGTGTTGTTTTTATAATATTTACTCATGCACATTTATTTTACAGTATACTCATTTTAGTATAATACAAAACTCATGTTAGTAATTAACACACAATATTTAATAAACTAATAAATATTCATTTTAAAATTTAAAATATATAAAAATAAAATTAATACCTAAAATATTTTTTAATGCACAGATTGAAAAAACTTAAGTTAGAAGTTTGATTGAAAAAAGCAACAACAAACTCCAACATTAAATAATATCTTTAATAATATATTTTCATAATAGTTGAATAAAAAATTAAAGCAAAAACGTTGATGGTTTCTGAATGCGCAAAAAGGATTTTAAATAAAAAAGAAATAGAAGAAAGAAGGAGAAAAACAACAACGTAACTAACCTGTAATGCAACCTACGTACGAACGAAACAAAAGAAAAAAAAAACAAAACCCAGCGATCAGCAGGGAATGGAGCCGGCGGAAAAAAAGAAAGAAAATTAGAAAACAGAGATCGAAAGAGCAACTTAACTATTAGGTTTTAAGTTGAAACTAATTACAAAATTGCGGGCTGTATCATGCTCCAGGTACATCCGGCTGTACGGTAGTATTTGCCGGCCAGGACCCGCCCGCAAAAACGGACCTAACGTCATGTCCATACCCGACCGTACGAGCGGGTTAGGTAGTCCACCGGGTCGTCTGAGCCGGGGAAAATTTAAATTTCGCAAAATTATATAATCTCTTAATACTTCGTAATTTGTAAATAATATTACTACGTATAGCATTTCAAAAATTGATAATTCGCTTATAATGTCTACCTTTCACCAAATACATAAAAATAACAATGAGAAACTATATCTCAAATCTAAAATTCAGCACAAAGTATTATCTTCAAGCAGGAATATTCCTGTCCGGACAGGGGTGGTCCGGCCACCTCAATTTAAGGTGATTCTTGGTGGTATTTTTTGCTCAAATTTTTTGTATATGCTCCTAATCAAGTCTAGTTCATGCATACCAAACTTGAGCAAAAAAATCAATCGGGAAGGCTGTCAAATGATTTTTGCAAGATAACTGCGTTTTATATGTATATTTTGGAGCAGCTAACTTGCAAAAATCATTTGACGGCCTTCCCGATTGATTTTTTTGCTCAAATTTGATATGGATGAACTAGACTTGATGAGGAACATACACAAAAGATTTGAGCAAAAAATGCCATTGGGAACCACCTCAAATTGAGGTGGGCGGAATACCCTCCTGTCCGGCCAGGCCGGATAAGAATAGTTCTCTATCTTGAAGTACAAAAATAGATATTATATTGGTTGAGCTACTTGTTAAAAACTAAAAACTTAAATTTAAACAAACATAATAAATTATGAATATGTATAAAGATAAATTAGTAAATATAAATACATGTGTACATGTAAATTAATGAATAAATAAATTAGTATATGTGTGTGTGTCTGTGTGTGTATATACTAAATGTAGCGGGTCGGGCATATTGGACCGAATGGGCTTACACCCCAACCCAAGCCCGCCCATATGTTATTGCGGGTCGGGCTAGGCCCGGCCCGATGGATAAATATATATATATGCCCAAGCTTGCCCATTTGTGCGGGCGGGTTGGGCAGCCCGAGCGGCTCGGGTCGGTTTTGTGCAGGTCTACTCATGTCATGCAACATGGGGCCAGAGTCTAGAAATCCTAGTTCTCCCTAGGGTAGCGAGGCTTGATTTTCCGGCTTTGTTAGTTATTGAGATGGAAGCTGCACCAGCTATGTTTGATCCGGGTGGAACAATGGTGGTTTGGTGTCTAGAGATAGGGGCAAATTTGGATTGCAATGGGTTGTGTGGGTGATCGGCAAGATTGTTTTTGGCCGAATCGGTGGGTGACCGCCTGGGGTTGTTTGTTGGATGTGAAGGGCAAAGATCACCTTGCGATGGAGAGGTGGCTGGTGTGGCACGGGGAAGTCCAGGTTTAGGTTTTGGAGAAATAAGACGAAGAGATGATGATTCATTCCCCTCCTGAACCGCCACCATGGAAGTGCTGTGCGGGTAGGGTTTGGAAGAATGTTTTACTAGTTATGCTTTGTTATTTTCCGTCCAAATTGTTTTAGTATTTGTATTTGTTATTTAGTATTTGTATTTGTTATTTTTAGGACAATCAATTAGGGGGTAGGTTGATGTTTTTGTGTTGTTTTAGTGGATAGATTTCTCTATGGAGGCAATCAGGCTGATTGATTTGGTATTTGCTAATAGCTTCGATGCTATTAGCCGCTAATAGCATCGAAGCTCTCACATTTTCAACGATTAGTCTCGCTCTTTTTGGGATAGACTATTCTGATCTAGGAGTGAGGGGGCCACTAAGCTTTTGGTCATTTTGGGTTTGAGGGGGTTACTTTGGGGGTGTTTGGATCTGGTTCTTAAAACTGCTTCTGCTCCTTCAAGGAGTAAAAGCAGAAGCTGGAGTATTTGGATGAAAGTGGAGAAGTGATTCTGGTACTCAAATTTACTCCTAGAATCAGTTTTTTTAGAAGCTGGGGGTGACCAGCTTCTGAAAACTGATTCTGATTCTGATTCTGCTTTAAAAAAGAAGCAGAAGCAGAATCAGTTCCAAACACCCCTTTTATTGCTTTGGTTGCATTTTACCTGATTGTAATGCGAACTTGATTTTAATATAATATGTCAGTTTGCAGTTAAAAAAATGATTTTAGTGTTTTACTTTGTTTTATTTTAGAGTTTATCTGGAATCACAAATTCTTTACTAAAAAGAGAAAATATTAAAGTTACTGGGACAATTAAAAAAAATTTGTAAAATTCTAAGGAATGGAGAGGATAATTGTAACATTGTACGTAGTAATCTTTATACTATTCATACGTCTTACTTTGGTCATGAGTTCTATTAATATATATAATCAAATTATACATATAAAGTATTTTTATATTTCAATTGTTAAAGTATAAACTAGAATGATATTGAACATGGAGAGAAGGATTTTCTGTATGTAATATGAGAGGGTTAAGGCCCTATATATAGGTTACAAAGAAGGAATATTCCTACATAAGATGCTATACAATAATAATGTCTAGAGTATATTCCTAAAGCATATTCTTATATACATCAATTCTTTCACACTCCCCCTCAAGTTGGAGCATAGATATTTATCATGCCCAACTTGTTACATAAGTACTCAACGCGAATCTCATTTAGAGCTTTAGTGAATAAATCTCCAAGTTGTTCTCCAGTCTTCACATAACCGGTAGAGATCAAACCTTTTTGTATCTTCTCTCGAATAAAATGACAATCAACTTCAATATGCTTTGTTCTCTCATGAAATACAGGATTGTTTGCTATGTGTATAGCAGCTTGGTTATCACACCACAATTTAGCGGGCATTGATGTCTTCAATCCGAGCTCAGTCAATAAATGGCTTATCCATATGATCTCACATGCAGATTGTGCCATAGCTCGATATTCTGATTCAGCACTCGAACGAGAAACCACATTCTGTTTCTTACTCTTCCAAGATACAAGATTACCACCAACAAAGACGCAATAACCAGATGTAGATCTTCGATCATCTTTAGAACCGGCCCAATCAGCATCTGCAAAACATTCTATTCTCATGTGGTCATGATTTTGGTAAACAATACCTCGTCCTGGTGCACCCTTTAAGTAACATAATATGTGTTCTACAGCAGCCCAATGATCAATGGTTGGAGATGACATGTATTGACTCACTACACTCACAGAATATGCAATATCTGGACGAGTGACTGCGAGATAATTAAGCTTTCCAACCAATCTTCTATATCTTTCTGGGTCTTCAAATGGTGTGCCTTCTTGAGTGAGTTGCACGTTGGGAACCATGGGTGTTGTACTTGGTTTTGCCCCTAATTTCCCTGTCTCGGCTAGTAAGTCAAGTACATATTTACGTTAAGATAGAAGTATGCCTTTCTTACTTCGTGTTACCTCAATTCCCAAAAAATATTTCAATGAGCCAAGATCTTTCGTCTGGAATTGACTATGCAGAAAAATCTTAAGGGCCAAAATACCTGCATTATCACTCCCTGTAATCACAATATCATCAACATACACCACAAGCAATGTGATACCTGCTTTCGTTTGTCTGTAAAAGACGGAGTGATCTGATTGTCCTTTTATCATTCCAAACCTTTCAATGGATTGACTGAATTTCCCAAACCATGCACGGGGACTTTGTTTCAGACCATAAAGAGACTTGCGAAGTCGACAAACTTTCCCATACTCCCCCTGAGCAACAAACCCCGGAGGTTGCTCAATATAAACTTCCTCCTGAAGGTCACCATGCAAGAATGCATTTTTAATGTCCAACTGATGTAAGTGCCAACCATGAGTTGCAGCAAGTGAAATAAGTAACCTGACAGATGTTAATTTAGCTACAGGAGAAAAAGTGTCAGAATAGTCAACACCATAGGTTTGAGCATAACCCTTCGCAACTAATCGAGCTTTCAATCGAGCAACAGATCCATCTGGGTTAACCTTAACAGCAAAGACCCACTTACATCCAATAGACTTCTTCCCTGTAGGCAAGTCTACCAAATCCCAAGTACCATTAAGATCCAAAGCATTCATTTCCTCTACCATGGCATGACGCCATTCAGGATGAGACAAAGCTTCTTTAACAGATTTGGGAACAGAAATAGAATCAATGGAAGCAATAAAAGAACATGAGGCAGAGGATAACTGACTATATGACACAAATGAAGAAATAGGATGAGTACAAGACCGTGTACCTTTACGTAGTGCTATCGGGAGGTCAAGATCTGATGTAGAGACAAGATCTGAAGATGCAGGTACTGGTTCAGGACATGAGATCGAAGCCGGACCAGTATTAGGATAAGTAATCACAGGTGTCACAGGTGGATGGTGATCTGGTGCTTTGTGTCGACGGGTGTAAACCAAGTGTACTGGAGGTCTGGGGTCAGGAATAGGAACATTCGGTATAGTTACTGAAGGGGTAGTCTCAGGTATAGTAACCGTGTAAATGAGTATTTCATCGTTGTCCTCATGAATATCTGTCTTGGATGATGACCAAGGTGTATTTTCATGAAATGAGACATCAATAGAAACAAGATATCGACCTGTACTCGGACAAAAACATCTATACCCCTTTTGAACTCGAGAATAACCTAAGAAAATACATTTCAATGATTTGGGATCCAACTTCGTGCGATGAGGGTTAACATTTCTAACAAAACAAGTGCAACCAAAGATTTTAGGTGGAATGGGAAAAAGTTCTTTATTTGGAAAAAGGCATTGATAAGGAGTTTTACCATCCAAAACAGAAGATGGCATACGATTGATCAAAAAACATGAGGTAGACACAGCATCAGCCCAAAACTGTTTAGGCACATTCATTTGGAATAGAAGAGCGCGCGCAGTTTCTAACAGATGTCGATTCTTTCTTTCAGCAACTCCATTTTGAGGAGGTGTGTCTACGCATGAAGTTTGATGAATAATGCCATGTTGAAGCATAAAAGATTTAAATGGAGCGGATAGATATTCTTGGGCATTGTCTCCCCTTAACACACGAACAGGAACATTAAATTGAGTTTTAATTTCTGCACAAAATGCAGAGAAATGAGTAAATAACTCGGATCGACGCTTCATAAAATATAACCATGTCATACGAGAATAATCGTCAACAAAAGTAACAAAATATTTGAAACCAGATTTGGACACAACCGGACATGCCCCCCAAACATCAGTATGGACAAGATCAAACGGAGCATTGGCTCGTTTATTAAGTCGGGGACTTAAAGTAGTGCGATGATGTTTTGCAAATTCACATGACTCACATTGTATAGATGACACCTTATTAAACTGAGGATATATCTGTTTCATAAGTGTGAGAGATGGGTGTCCTAGACTGTAATGAGCCTCTAACAAAGTTCCAACCCCAAGACAAGAGATACCTTTTGTTATTGATGTATCCAAAATATAAAGACCAGCCGACTCATATCCTTTACCAATAGTCTGCTTCGTTAACAGATCCTGAAACACACAATATCCAGGAAAAAATGTTACAGAACACTTAAGAGTACGTGTGATTTTACTGATGGAAAGCAGATTAAACGCAAAATTAGGAAGACTCAAAACAGGTGATAATGGTAAAGTAGATGTTGGGACAACAGTACCGGATCCAAGGACGGGTGAGGTAGACCCGTCAGCTAAAGTGACATTAGAAGTAGGTAAATATGAATGAAATGATGAGAATAGACTAGGATTACCAGTCATATGATCTGTGGCACCTGAGTCAATAACCCATTTTGAGGATGATGAAACAAGACATGTGTTTGAAATACCTGAATTAGCAACTACCGAGGTAGGGACAAAGGAATGCTTTAGAGATTCTTGGTAGCAAATAAATTTGGCATACTCGTCTGAAGAAATAGAAATTGATCCATCAGAGGAACTGGTAGCGGAAGCAACATGAGCAAGCTGATTTCCTTGATTTTTGAATAGCAATTTTCTACATTCTTTAATCAAGTGTCCGGGCTTCTTGCAGTAATTGCATATTACTCCTTTGTCAAACTGACCTGTTGTACGAGACATTTTTTTTTCTGGCTTTTTTTTTATGAGAATGTAATTACGTTCAAAATTGGGATATCCAATGAAAATTTACAGCAGCCCGTTTGTGGACTTGACCTTGGAGAATAAAAGATCCAATCTGCTTGGGATTGGGCTTTGACTATTACTTCAGAGTCCAGATTCCGGACAAAAGTCCGATTCCAGACCCTCAACAAAATAAAGTAATACGGAGTACCAGATATCAGATCAGACTAACAGACATCGGATCCCACACCCCAGCGACGCAAGACCAGGAACAAACGTGCGTATGTCCCAGATGCTTCGATGCCAGACCCTAGCGAGCGAGAAGTGGGCGAGAAGTAACGACCAACCACTATATCTCCTCCACAGCTATCGTCCCTTTTTTAAAGGAAGAACGAGAGAGAAGTAACGTGTACCTGGTGGTAGAGTTCAGCCGAGCCTGTTGAAGAGTTCCAATCAAATCTCTGGCCAGAAAAGTGTAGCACGCTCGCCTTGCAGTTCGGTGTCGGATTTCAGCTGCTGGGTCGTCTGAGGTAGGCGCACCTCCTGACTATGGATGTGACTCGAATTCTGGTCTGAAGAATCTGGGGCTATAAAGCTAACTGAACTGAGTTTCTGAAATATTAGCAGCTACTTGATTTTCTGGAAAGTAGCAGCTAATTGATTTTCTGGAAAGTAGCAGCTAATTGATTTATGGATTAAGAATCTGGTAGGATTCCGAAGTTTCTGGACTGAAATAAGCTCTTGGAGAAAGAACCCCGCTGTAAACTAAACTAATAAACCAAACTGAGATATGAATGACTAAAATAAAATATGAAAATTAAACTGAAATGGATGTCTCTGATACCATGTTAAAGTATAAACTAGAATGATATTGAACATGGAGAGAAGGATTTTCTGTATGTAATATGAGAGGGTTAAGGCCCTATATATAGGTTACAAAGAATGAATATTCCTACATAAGATGCTATACAATAATAATGTCTAGAGTATATTCCTAAAGCATATTCTTATATACATTAATTCTTTCACATCAATTAATATGAATTCCCGAGATAATAACTTTTTATAATGTTTACTCATACGTAATTAAATATAAGGCTAAAGGCACAAATATGTACATGAACTAACTTAAAGTGTTCAATTAGCCCCTTTTATAAGAGGTTCTGCCCGACCGTCGCCAATTGGGGTGGTTCCTGGTGGAATTTCTTGATGAAATTTTTTGAGCATCTTCTTCATTAAGTCTAGTTTACCCATACCAAATTTCAGCTAAAAATTCATCAGGGAAGGCAGTCAAATGATTTTTTGAAGATAACTGTGCAGTTAAACAACGCAGTACATTTCGGAAAATCATTTTACCGCATTCCCGATTTAATTTTTAGCTTAAATTTGATATGGGTAAAGTAGACGTAATGAAGAAGATGCTCAAAAAATTTCATCAACAAATTTAACCGGGAACCGCCCCAATTGGCGACGGCCGGACAGAACCTCCTATATAAGAGGCTAATTGAACACTTTAAGTTAGTTCATGTACCTATTTGACCCTTTAGCCTAAATATAATAATAGTCAAAGTTGTGAGTTAAGAAAATGAAAGTCAAACTATTGCAATTAAAAAGGAACCATGAAGTATAAATTTATCGCATTAGCTCATCTGATTTAAAAATGTGTCAAACTTCTCTATGTTACAATTTGGATGTTTTTACTTGGACTGTAATTTGCTGGTCTGAACTGGTCTGGTCTGGTTTGGTAAGTTCTGGGTTCTTTGTATTTTTATAACTATTCAAGTCTGGTCTGGTCTGGTCTGAACTGGTCTGGTCTGGTCTGGGACAAATTACAGTCCAAGTAAAAACATCCTCATTCATGCGTGAAAGTCCCTTTATGAATAAGTTAATGACAAATGAATGGAAAATAATTAGCTTTTTGCATAATTTAGAGATCTCGATAAATTTACTTGCACATTCAATTGTAATATTATGACAAGAGATTTCGAAATTGTTAAATTTGTTCTTAGATATGATTTTCCGCATTAATTATTACAACACATGGGGGTTTGACGCTTTTTTAAAAACGTAGTATAACAAAGGGGTTTAAATATTAGTTAATTGAAATGTGTTTAAAAAATGGAGTTTTGAAGGCCACCAGGAGGTTCACGACGAAGATTTGATGAAGAAAAGGCCTTTGGAATGATCAAAGAAGCATCCGGGTGCATTTGGAGCAAGAAAAGAAGAAGAATGGTGAAGAAAAGGGCAGGCACGGTTGTGCCTGGCCCTAGGCACGCCGTGCCTGCAGTATAAACTGGTACCAGATAGCTGAAATGCATAGGCACGCCGTGCCTGACCTGAGGCACAATCGTGCCTGTAGAAAAAACCTGTTCCGAATCTTGGGAGAGCCAGGCACGGTCGTGCCTAGCAGGGAGGCACACCGTGCCCTTGGACGCGAATCTCGCTGGTGCTACGCAGGCACGGTCGCGGGCACGTCGTGCCTGACCCCGTTTTATCCCAATTCAGCCCAAACTCATATGTTTTCTATAAATAAGGCCTCCATTCTCCTGTTTAGGGGTTAAGAACATTATGGAGAGGCCTAAGGACGAATTTATCTGCGTTTTTCCGTTGTTTTCTTCAAGACCCTGTGATTATTTGTAAGTTCAATCTTTTTAATTAATGACAATTAATTCTATTCATCCCAATTCAGTTTAATTCTGTATATGGATTAATTGCATGAATGCCGTTTAATTTGTGTTTGAACAATTTAATTGATATCTCTTGTAACCTAGACTGCAACTAGAATTACAATTGCTTGTACAATAAATTAAGAGCGGTCTAATTTGTTCTAGGACACATTCACACACACTTAATCGTTCGCTAAGAGATTAGTAAAGATTAAGAGGCCGTAAGCTCGCTCGTCTTGGCAATAATTTAGGATCATGTCGCATGAGAGATCAGCCTGGCCCCTAAATTATTGTACTCTACGTCGCGAGAGCGGTAAGAACTTAGTAATGATTAGTTAGGCACGTTTAAATTAATTTCTTGTAATTACGCCTGATCTGCAAGAAATCTGGTTACCCCAGAATCAATCCATGTTCCCTTCGTCGTTAATTAGAGAAAAGCCAACCTTTTTATTCGTTCAATCGCAATTTAGTTTTTCAAACCACCAATCTCCGCACAATTGCGTTTATTTTATTTCTTTTTAATCGTTGAACTTAATTAATTTTTATTTCCCTTTTGTCCCTCCTTATGAAGACGATACTCGTACTTTCATCACTATATTACAATCTTTTTAAGTGCGAGAAAACTCACATCACGACCACAAAGAAATTCACCGCTTCCGAAGAAGTATGGGCTGACTACCTGAAGGTGGGCATTTTTTAATTCATTTGTGTGTCTATTTTATAACATCATAATAACAAATTTTATATTTTTTTTTTATATCAGTCACATAAAGAACATGCACACCTTCGGTCAGAAACTTATCCAGACTATGAGGATCTGAGAATCACAGTGGGGAATGGAATTGCAACTGGAATGGGTGCAATTGGTCTTGGCGAAAATACAGATGCTACAGTGTTAGGAGTAGATGATGAACCAGGTGGAATTGGCGGCAGTGATGGATTATATTTTTAACCAAATACTAACACGTTCACACCGAGTAAAAATGCATCATCCAACCAGGAGGACTCATCATATCTTCCACATGATGGTGGTAGAAATATAGAGGATCCACCTTAATCAAGCAATAGGCTAAAAGAAAAAGTGATAGAAATGATTTTGAGAACAATGGAAGAACAAAAGAACATAATAGTCAAAGAGAGGTTATTGAGAGCTTGTCAATGGGGTTTAATAAAATTACTAAGAGTTTTGATAAAATTTGTTATTTAATGGAGAAGGGAAAAGCAAGGGACAATGATCTTTTGGATGCTATGAAAGAGACCCCTGAATTAACAGACGATGATTGCTTTAAAACTCTTGATTTGCTTAATACAAAAGCAAAGAAAGATTTCTTTTTTAAGGATGACTCCCGAACAATGCTAATGTATATATCCTAACATTTTTCAGAAATTATGTTGTATCCTAAAACATTTAGAAATATATACAGAATGTATCCTAACATTTTTCAAAAATTATGTTGTATCCTAAGAAACAAAACACCTTTAAGAGATACAAGATCTATTTGT